CAGTTAAGTGGGGAGCTGGCTGGTCTGGGAATACGGTGCGTTGCTTCTTGGACAACATGACAACGTGCCATATTGTAAACAAGGGATGTTCCTCTTCCCTGGCCATCATGCGGTTTATGAGGACTCTCACTTGGCTAGCTGCAAAACACAGTTTTCTTTTAACCTGCATTCATGTGCCTGGGGTTCTAAATATAGCTGCTGATCACTTATCACGGTCTCGGTTTCAGGAGTTCTGGGCAGCACTACCAACAGCTACCCTGACACCGACTCCAGCACCTCTGTGGCAGGAAATGGTTTGGGACTAAAAGAACTGCTCTATCACGGGCAACAACTTTCACAACTCGGTCTTTCCGATAACACCAGGAAAGCATATGGCAGAGCATATCATATTTTCAATAAATTCTTGCTGGACTTTAATGTCACTGACCAATTTTCCATTGAGACTATCATCGCATTCATTTCTTTTTGCCATCTTCATCTGACACTATTATACAATACCATTAAGTTGTATATCACAGGTATTTAACATCACATCCTCACAACATGGCCTAATAGACAACGATTTCTGTCATCCTACCAAGTTAAAGCCATACTTAAAGGTATTAAAGACTCCACCCCTATACCCTCACTGTCCAGACTACCCATTCACGATCTTTTGTTTCAGTCACTATCCAATCTGCTAGACACCTCACCATTCGAAGCTCATACAAACCGTATAATTAAAACCTCCATCTATTTGGCTTTTTATGGTTTTCTTAGGCCCAAAGAGTTCACCACTACTAACTATAACTCCCCCAACTTCATCACAAGGTCAAACCTGGTGAAAGTACAAGATCACTACCTGCTATCCCTACACCATACCAAAACTACTGCCAAAGGACAGACGTCACTATCACCTATTACCCCACTAATAATAATTGGTGTCCGGTGGAGGTTTTAGACAAATATCTTTCCTCTTGTACCATAGCCCCAACACAACCTCTCCTTACATTACACGGTAATAAGCTTATTACGAGTAAATTCATGGTGTATGTTAGGATGTTGTTGGTCCGTTTAGGATTAAACCCAGCTAATTACTCTGGTCACTCATTTAGAATAGGAGCCACCACTACAGCTTCTAAGAAGAATATCCCGGCTCACATAATTAAAATTTTAGGCCGGTGGAAGTCCACGGCTTACACAAGATACATCCCTCAGCCAATACCAGAGGTGCGCTTAGCATTCAAGACCATGAATATGTGATATCCTATGATGTATTTGTAGGATGAATAAACTGGTTTATATCTTTTTTGCCCTCTTTTATTTCAGGCCTACTACCTCGTCAGTTCCGGCACACCACAATTGACATTTCCATTCACTGTTTGTCTTATGTTACTAATACTACGGATTTATGTCGTGACCACAAATGGAAGGCGTGGCCTGAAGTTGTGGGAGGGGCTTGGTTCCCCTTCTTAAGGAGCACCAGCCCTTCCCTCATTACCTGTTAGGTCTGGCGAGTTGCCCCACCCACCACACCTCCTTTTATAAGCACTTCACAAGGTAGGCCCTCTTTTATTTCAGGCCTACTACCTCGTCAGTTCTGGCACACCACAACTGACATTTCCATTCACTGTTTGTCTTATGTTACTAATACTACGGCTTTATGCCGTGACCACAAATATTTATATATATATACATATATATATATATACACACACAAATGGGATCTGGCTAAAAACAGATATTCAAAAAAGAAAAACAATACATGGTGCAATATTGCATATAACAGTAATTGTAGGTAGAAGGTAGAGTATAAAACGGTTCTATGAGTGCCTCCCCGATATACGTGGGGGACTTATAGCCTTCTTGTCTCCTTTCAATCGCCCAATGCAGGAGTGGACTCAGAAATCCAGGTTGATAAAGTGAAAATGCTTTTATTTGTAGCATCATATAACAAGTGCAAATAAAAATAAATATATATATTTAAAAAATTCCAAGGTCCTATGCATTTTGTTCTATGGATTCAGAATTTACTCATGGATCAAATTATTAAAACAAAGTAAAACAAATCAATGCTACAAACAGCCTGAAATTCCCTCCTCCACAGTCCCTTTAAATAGGCTAATCCCTGAAATCCATTGGTGGTCCGGTGGGTATGGATGATGTCCTTGTTGTGCATTGGTTCGTCAAAAAAAAAAAAAAGATCATCTGTTCCCATTTGATGCTTACCGGGATCTTCTGGACTCAGTCTGGATCAATGTCGCCATCATGATCTGCTTTGACACACTTCCGTGCATTTCAAGTGCTCTTTCTGCTTGTGTTCCAACAGGCATATCCAGATCCAAAATGTTTCACGTTGGGCTGAGTCTCTTATCTCTATCTCCCCCTCTCCAGTAAGTTAGTGTCACGACAGTGACCCCTACACGCAGAGTGTAATTAGAAAGTGACGTATACCGGACCTTAGAATGGACGGACTCAAAACGCCAATGAGTGGTCAAAGGAATAGCTAAGAGTGAAGGGAGTAAGGAAAGCAGGCACACAAGAATAACCAAGCCAAAATCAGGAAACCAGAGAGTAAAATAGTCAGAGGGAAAGCCAAAAGTCAAATACCAGTAAATACAAATAAATGATCTCAAGAGCACTAAAGGGAACTATCAAGAACCACAATAGGGCGAAGAACAATTGAAACAGGCGCCTTTTATAGTGTGGTACCTTAGGATAATTCTGAAAAAATAAATTTAAATTATTTTGTGAAATAATATTTTCCTTCAGAGTTAGATCCAACAAATCCCTCATAACCAAGTTGAAGAATTATCTTGGATTAGTCTTCAGTGTTTTATAAGTTGTTTCATCACCCAAAATCCTATAAGATTCCTATAAATATTATTTCCGCCTCATGATCATTAAATACCTACCCTTTCTTGCCCCTTTTATTACAATATCCTCTCTTTTAGTAAGATTTTTGTTAACACTTTCTTTTTTTGGTTAAATTATCATATTTTAAGTTCTGATTATTTCTTAAACTTGTAAGTTTAAAAGATTCCCACTCTACTATGTTTTAAAAGGTTTACAAAAAAGTCCTTTACTCTGGATGCGGTAAACGTGATATTTAAGTTTAAATGGTTAGTGTCAGGATTTGCAGTAATAGGTATTAGGTATTTATTCATGGAGCAGTTATAAATTGGTGTAGGTTAATTGTTTTAATTGTACACATGGATATATACTGATACGAAACATGTTGGGCCTATAATTTTTACTTAGTTTTTTTGTTTGCAAAGACGTTTTTTGGGCATACAATACAGGAGGTAATACGTTAGTTGTTGTTAGCAGGCTCAGACTTTCAGACTCTTCAGTATATACAACCTCCAGATTACTGCTTCCACGTTCTGCTTCCCCTTCCCAGGCTTGGGTAGGTGCAAAGACGTTTATTGGGCATACAATACAGGAGGTAATACGCTTCACATTTTTTTGTATACCAAAAGTCTGAGCCTGCTAACAGTAGGCTCAGCACCATGTGAGTTTGACCAATTGGTGTTTTTAAGATTTTATATTCTGTAACATATTGCACTATGATCTGTATTATTTGCTCTATTACAGATATCTAGCAACTACCATTTATTGTCCAGAATCCTGCAGTGGAAGTATATAGCCATTTATGTGTTTGCTCTCACCTACACTTTTTATTTCTATTAGATTGGACATTAGTCCTCTTCTTTTTACTATTAATTACTATTAATATCACAGCACCCACCCGTGACCAATCGATGGGTGCTGGAATGTCACAAAGTCTTCCCAATAAATATTAGAGTAGCATCTACCTGATGCCCATAAGTGGCAGCAAGGGATGGGAAGGAAATATTTAGGAAACATGCCCCATCCTGTTGCATTATAATAATATAGATCCCATAAGCTTTTTATTTATTTATTTTACTTTTTAATGCTGTGCTTTTTAGTGGTTACTTTGAAACAAACACCCCAACTATTTTTAGTAAGAGTTCCTACATTGAGGGTATAATAGGGTTCCATTAAAATTTTTTTACAGTGTTACACTATGTGACGAGTCCAATCTCGCCACATTGCATTGGAGAAGCCTGGTTGCTCGCCTGCTGCCTTTGGACTATGGCCCCCTTTTAAAAGACTTTATTTTTCCATGCAGAAAAGCTGTATTCGTGCTTTTCTGCCGGTTGTTCGGTAGTTTCAATCTACCGAACAACCGTACGAATGACTGGACCACCTGGGAGCTGGAGTGTGCCGGCAATTAACCTCCCTGAAGCTGCGGTTAACCGCAGCTTAATTGATGAACGCTGGGTGGCCGCCGTTCGTATCCCGAACACGAGGTCGCGGCCATTTTAAACCATACGAATGAACAGCGGTGTTCGCCTCTATTTTCATGGAACTAAAATCGGACACAGTTTTGCGCGAACACCGCTGAAGCCGCCGACCTCCCTTCTTGTTCGGTGAAAGCACACGAATGACCCGGTGTTCGGTATTTTTGTGTGAATGTCTTATACCCCAGATAGGAATCCCATGGAGCCCATTCGTATGAAACTGACTGTAAAGACTTTGGCTCCATGGCGATTAAACTGTATTCGTGTGGTCTGAGTGCCATTCACCTAATAATGTGCACTCAGACCTGAGCTATCTGGGGATATGTTACATGTCTGTGGTTTATGTAGTAAATGTTATTTTATGTATTTTAAAGTATTATGCTGGTTTTGTGTTCCCACATGTGTAATGGAGTTTTGCCTTTGTCTTGGGAGATAATTGAGTTACTTCCCAATTATCTCCCAGGGCAGAGGGGAGGAAGCCAGGATGCATTGTGGGAATATACTGTGACTGTGTGTCCTATTTGTATACTTGTCTGTCCCTTGTCACAGTCTCCCATTTGGTCCCCTAGGGGAGTGTCCACCAGGTGGGAGACCTGCATAAAAGCCTGGGCAGGTAGCCCTCATTAAACAGACCACTGCTTGACCCTCAACACGGAGCCTTGTCTCGTCTTTGGGGGGATTTACTGTATGCTGCTAAGGACTGATTGCCAGGAGTGTAAGCCGCTTGGAAGCTTTTCCTGTTCGCCTGCTAGCAGCTATTCGTATGGTTCCTGTTCGTTTATTTGAAGTGCTACCTTATTCCCTTGTATGCCGTTCGGGAGTTTGGAGCATTCACTTATTGGCGGTTCGTGAGTTTTGGTGATTATACAGTAGCTGTGCCTGACTCTGAAGGGGGGGATTATCGTCTAAGCGGTTTTTTCCCCTTTTGTGCAAAACGGTCCGTTACACACTATGTTGCTGTTTCTCTGTAATTTTTAGGTTACATCAGGAACTGATACAAGCGTGGACACATTTTATGCAGTATTGGACCCTCAATACTTTTTGGTTATTCCATGGTTTAAACTTCTTACCCTGTACTGGATCTCAGACTTTCCATATTGTGGCATCCCAGAGAATATCTCATTAGGGAGAGGTCCACTAAGAGCTAACACTTTTTAAGTCCATTTCCTTGCTTAAAACGTGGGAAGGTTTTTATGTGTTTAAGCTTTTTATTTCCAATTTACTCAGTGTTTTATTTTACATTATTATTCTGTTTAGCGCTCTCTTATAGCTACTTGATCTGGAAATTCCTGATTACTGTGGGCAGATCTAGATGTGAAGATATTCCGATTATCACATATTATAAAAAATCCTAAAAGTTAATTTCTATACATAATATAAGAAACACAAAAAGAAAAAAAGTATTTCATACATGTTCCAGAGAATAGCATCTAAAAATTACATTAATTTTAGCAATTGCAAAACTTTTTTATTGGTTTTTAAACAATTCCATGCTTTATTTATAGACAGAGGAAGTTATTCCATACCTTCTTTGAATAATGAGCTGTGTAGACCACAAGAATCTGAAAAAAATATTTATATTTTGGCTGCTTAAATATAGAAATAAGGAGACATAAGAAGTCAGTAAAGCAAGATAAATGCTTACCTTGTAGTAAATGACAGGTAAAACAGAAAAGATATACTTCAAAACTCAGTGAGTATGAGTATCAATCTGTGAAAAAAATTCCCTTCTTATCAAAATAAACTTGATGAGCTAAAATCAGTAATTATGTAATTGTACTTATGCTAATTGTGGTAAATTATTTGGTAAATCGCAACCTGCACAATACTTACACAGATATCAACGAGGAACACAGCATGGAAAGCAGAAGTACCCTTAACAAGATGTATGTGACTTTGTGGGCAAAAACAAGAAAGAAGCACATTTTGCATTAAGCCATACTACCACTCCACAAACCTTTATAATTTTACTTGTGATTTAAAGATCATAAAACAGAATAACAATTAAAATAAATATATAACAGCAACAATTGAAAAGGTTAGATCACATAACCTACTTTTTAATATTATTACAAACTCATCCCCAGTCACCACAACTCATTGTTTTAGCAAACAAAACCTAAAATAAAATATAACATATTTAAATTATTAATTTTGAATTCTAACATAGAATATTGTAATAAATACTACTACATCTACTAGAACTAGCAAACTGTTTTATATGGTTATTTTGCAATAATATCCACAATGATAAAGTATATTATTATGTAGGTAAATAATAGCGAACCACTTAGCTTATTCTGAACCACTTTTTCTAGATAGCTGCATTAGAGAAATAGCTCATTAGCCAAGTTTATCTTTAATACCCTTTAAGTTATGTTATCACCTTAGGGCAAAAATAATAAACATCTGTTCTTTAACATTCATGTTCTGTGCCTTCAAGCATCTGAGCTTTGCTAATACATTTATCACAGGGACCATGCTTCTAATGCAATATCTTCTAATAAATGGAGACAGTAATACAGCCCTATATAACTCGACCTTATTCAGTACAAGTCAGCAGCAAATGTTGTATGTCACAGGTTAAAGACTAATTTTGTTTGTGACAAAATACCTTGTGACAGTAGGTGTTAGGTACAGTGTGCTTTAAAAAAAAAAAAAAAAAACAAGCTTCTTCTATGCCATATCTAATAAACTTGTTTCACATTAAAATGTTTAATGGGTGTAATTAGTATTTAGTTTGCCCCAACATATTCCTCAGTTTGTCATGACCATAGTTTGCCTCTTGCAAGTTTCTTAAAGGGTTATTTACTAAAGTGCAAATTCAAAGTGAACACAAAGTGAAGTGTAAATCTAAGGTCAAAATAGTGGAACTGGAAAAATTCTCTAAGTCAACTATGTTTTCAGTTTGGCTACTCTGGTCTTAAATTTTAAATTCACTTAGAATTCACTTGGGATTCTCACTTTAGTGAATAACCCTGTTTGTTATGCACTGCTTTAGTTTAAGTTCTTTTTAAGTTTTCAGTTTAGAGTTAGGGTACAACTTTACCATCAGTGCTAGGTTATATTGCTACCTTTATTTGTTTGTTCTTCAGTACTGGACAAATATTCAATATACAGGGTTATAGTTTCAATGGTATGAAGTCTCAAAGGGAAATCCTGGGCATAAATACTACTTGTGACAAAACGCTCCTTGCACTGGATGTTTGCCATGAATTCATGGAGGAGTGTAGAAGATGGCCTCCTGCCCACCGATTATGGGCCATATACAAAGACCCTGTTTGGAAGTTAAATCTCCATAACTGCTATTAGTAGCTTGCTCTGGGTGCCCATGGTTCGGCACTTTCTCTTCATGCGAATGGAACCGAAAGCTGGCTCTCTGGCGGCCGTACCCACGAATAGTCCCAGTGGTACTTAACCGCATCAGGACTTTGTGGGTTCCCTGTCACCTTAGCAGGACTTAGCCGAGAATGTTATGGAACTGTTTTAGGCATGAGGTGACCGTGTGGTTCCCGGACAACTTGGTTCGCGGTTTTGAACCACCTTGAAATACATCAGGACAGCACTTTTTGGAGGAAAGGTACCTGAGAATAAACATAAGGGGAACAAACGCTACCCAAGAGCCAGCCAGAGCAACCCGTATTGCGGCTGCAGGAGTTCCCGAAGGTTGACGGGCAAAAGCACCAAACGCCCTGGAACAGTTTTGTGTGCGGCTGGTGAGAACTTTAACACAGTGGCATTTCCCCTGAGCGCTATTTGGAGAACTTGGGCGCTCAGATCAGGGATATCTGACAATATAATATTTCTGGGGGTTCCTAAATGTCTTATATGTATTTTTAATATTCTATTAATATTGTATGTTATGTTTTTATGCTTAGTCATCCTTACTCAGAAATTCATGTGCGTGTTATGGGCGTGTTGTGGGAGTGTTATGGGCATGTTTGACTGTATCCCTGATGTGTATAAAAGCAGGCCATCTGGCCATTATAAATTATTCCTGTTGTACCTTTCATCAAGTCTAGGCTGATATTTGGGTAGCACAAAGCATTATCACTGCTTCACTTGGGATTTGGGAGAACTACAGCGGATATCCTCAGGCGGAATATAGGGGCTCCGTTACACTACTTTAATGTGTTCGTTATGGCTCATTGCACCACAGAATCAGCTCACAAATATGCTGTTTTTGTTTTTTGCATTCTCAAGTTGTTTTTGCATGAAATAAATAAATGTTTTGCAGAACGTGCACCACAAGCCTGCCTCTTTGGTTACCATTCCACATACTTCAGAAAAAAAACGTATTTATCACACAGCTCAGCCACTGTCAGTGCTGAATGATCTGAACACCCAGGGAGACATGGTGAGTATATCACTACCTGTTTGCAGTTTTTCTGACCGTTTGCAGCCAGGTTGTGAATTTAAAAAAACTCACTGTTTGGACTGAGGCTGTGTGCATACTTTAGATAAGGAAGTTTTTCTGGTATTACGTCTTTCTGGCCACACACAGGGACCACTATCCTTTCACTCTCATGCCTCAGAACCCTAAGGGATAAGGCTTTGATTCTGCACCTGCAGCAGATGTCAGACAGAGGGGATGGTTTGGGAGGAAGCCTCAAGAATAGGTCACTTCTCCTTTCTCCCTCATCACTTGGGTGAGAATGGGAGCATGGAAGATATCTCCAGATTTATTCACTTAAGCGAGAATTGAAAGTGAATTCAATGTACATTTCCTATTCAAGGAAAAATGCTTTCAGTTCTGCTACTTTGACTCTAAATTTGAAATCCACTTCAGTCAATAACCCTGTTTGTAGGCAACAGAAACCTTTCTGTGAGCTTCAAAGATGTATTTTGATCTGGGAATAATATCCCACAAAATAGTATGATGAAAACTTCACCCAAATTCAGAAACTGTTATGAGTTACGAGCTATTTAAATACATTTAGAATTGCGAAATTTCTTGTACAAAGAACAGTTTCTTGGCATTTTTCTTAAGGGTTATCCTGGTTTCTGGGACCAATATGCATTGCTCTTGGAGGTTTTTACTGTCTAATGACACAGGTCATCTAAATTCCAGTTGAGATACTTCCGAGGGAAAACTAGCCAAACGCAGTTACAAGCTTATATGTTATTAGGTAATTTATCCCATATTTTGCAAGATCTTAAGTATGTCTAAAAGAAAATATTTTCATTAGTTCCAAAAAGGCTAATTAAAGCATCATTCAGGCAGTTGTTGATACCATGAGAATAAATGTGCAATTATTATAGTAATGATATGGTGTGATAATATGAATAGGAGTAATTTTAAATTTAGAGTGCACTTACTTATATGCTTTCCTGGGAAAGTTTTAAAATAGTTTGACTAATAGTAGTTTACTTCACTTACATGAAGATAGTTTAATTAAAAATTGTTTGTATCTCGATTAGTTTTGCATATGTTTGTTGCAAATATACAAATAGAATACTTCTATATTTCCTTATAAAGATATATATTGATAGTCACAACAATAAAACAATTGGCCTACTATCCTGTAGGCCCCCCTTGTGATGCCAAAACAGCTGTAATGCATAAAGGCATGGACTCCACCTCTGAACAGAGGAGGGCTGGCAGCCTTAGGTCTGGGGGGCAAATCCTCATTGCACCACAGAATCAGCTCACCAACCATGCCCACCTTTTCCTGGTTTTAAGACAGATATTGATGTTATGCTAATCAGTAGCTCTTTGCCATACCCAATCTGCGGCGCCATTACGCAGCCGCACTTTGACCTTTCTGAAACTCAGTTAAGATGTGTGTCAGAGAATGTGTGTTAGTCTGCTTCAGTCAGTGTATTTGTTATGTCAGTCTGTATGGGTCAGTATGTGTCTGTATTGGTCAGTGTGTGTATCTGTATGGGTCAGTGTGTGTCTATATGGTTC